TGCCACTGCCCGACGCCCACAGCCCCACGCGGGAGTCCGCCGCTTCGGCCGCTTCCCTCCTCCCTTCCGAGAACTGCGAAATAGCGGAACCGGCCAAGCGCGCTGGGCGCCTGCCCGGGACACAACTTCTCTGTGCCCCTGGGGCAGGCAAAGGCCCCTCACACATTCACCGGAACCACAGTTCCTAAAAGACCCGGGGAAATCGGACTTCGTGGAAATTAAAAGCATTTCCTCTGAAAGAACGCTGAGGACGATGACGATGCCACAGGCTGGGGACGAGCCACCGAGGGCGTGGAGGGGATTACGGACTGGCATCTGGGACGTAACCACGAAGCCCCGGGACCCACCAGCAGCAGACGACGCGCGTTTCCCGAGGGAGTGGAGATGCGCCAGGCGCTTCGCCCGAGAGGCGAGCAGACGCTCGGGAGTCGCTCGGCGGCACGAGCTGTGGGGGATGCCCGCACCCCACGGGGAGCCCTGCACCCCGGAGAGGGGCTGCACTGAGCCCGCCAACTGAGGGCCCGCAGGGGCCGGGCTGGGGCCTCGGGGGCCGGGGAGGGGGTGTCTAGAAGTTAAACCTCCTCCCACCGTCAGTCCCGGCCGTGCCGTGCCCCCCCACCCGGCTCCTCCCCACAGGGGCCGAAACCGGTGTCCACACCGAGCCCCGCACTGGGAGCGCCCCGGATGTGCTTCGGCTGGGGAATGCAGAGATGAACAGAGCAACCTGTGGTGACCACCTCGTGGGACCCTCCCAGCGGGACGTGAGCCGTCACCGAGGCAGCACCTGGTCGGGCTCAGGCTCGTGCTGGCCGACTCCCAAGGGGAAGGAAGCGCGTCACCTTCCGGTCTCACTTAAACCGAAGTGGAAGATGCAAATTACGGGACAGAGGCCAGTGGTCGCCTGGGGTGGGGGTGGGGGGCGCAGGAGGGACCACGGGCCCCGAGGACACTTGCAAGGTGACAGATGTGTCCCCTGTCCTGAGCGTGCTCGTGGTTTTACTGGTGTCTACTGGTGTCAAAACCTAACCAACTGCACGCGTTAAACACATGCCATTTATGCCCAGTAAAGCTGTTTTTGACCTCACCCGAATCCTGGCCGACGGCGCTTCCAGGCGAGGCCTTTGGCGGCGCATGTTCCCTCTGCGTCCCCAAGGGCCCACACTGTCATCTTGGTGGCAGTGGCCAGCGCCTGAAACGCCGCGGTCCTGACCACAGACCGAGGATGCACATCTGTTCACTGCAAAACAGCGTCCAGCGCTCGCGGACGGCACATCACAATGGCACCGGGCAGGGCCCGGAGACCCCGGCAGCCGGGCCACCCCCAGCCCGCCTGGGCACGCCTCGCGGCCCCAACGTGCTCGCCTGTGACACGGGGAATCAGGAACGTGAGGCGCGAGGGTGCGGAGTGCTGCGGGCCCCACAGGTGC